TGCTTAATTTTGGAGTCTATATGAAGCTGTTAGCCGCCCTCCTTCTTCCTACTTTCTCAAGGTCCTCCATTCGGTAACTTACTGCTACTAGTCATCTTTCTTTATCCACTGTCTTGTCATCCCCGTCACCGGATACGAGCCAACGCCGTGACCATGTTACAGGCCATCATGCCATTTCAAGTTTCTGTTACGGACGTCGCAGAGACCGCACATACACGTGCCACTCTCGGTAAATTCGCCAATCCTGACGAGGATTGGACCAAGATTTCCAATCTCGCCGAGCGCCGCAGGATCCAAAACCGTATTGCCCAACGCAACTACCGTAAGCCAAACCCAGTCATTGCGGCGCTCAGCCACTTCCTATATGTACTGATCCTCCCATATAGGCAAAAAGCTGAAGCGTAAAGCAGAAAATACCGCAACGTCCATTAATCCCAATTGTCTAAACTCAAACCTAAAGTCCTCAACCAAGATGCAGAAGAGCCGTCCCTCCGTAGGGTTCATTAAGCAGCCCAGTTGCTCTTCTCAACTGCACGCCGACGACCAGTATCGATTACAGCAATTCCGCCTTGACTTCTGCGAAAGTTCAAGTGCCGGCGCCACTCCAATTTGGATCAATCCAGTGGATTCTTTATTCGATCATTCAATCAATCTCTCTCCTTGTCAAGGACACTTGCTCGACTTTGCAGCCTCCAAGCCATACCCGAATGACTTCATAGCCGCAGATCCAATCACGTGGTACTCGATAAATCGCCTTGACAGCAGACCCAGGCAGACATTCAACACCGATTGTGGCTCCTTCTCACTCTCTACAGTTACCGACCATAGTCCGAGTACCAGTATGAGTGCACAGGATTCTTGGCACTCTTCATCGCCCGGACCGGTTGATCGGTCGGATGAGCCACCCCATGATGCACCAAGATGTTGGAATAATGAGCGGACTGATCCCGTCGGTTCTCTCAGTCATTCCGGCGCGTTTTTTAATGACTTTGAACGAGGAAGATAAAAAACCAGCCGTCGGCTTTATGCTCTTTGCTAACCATTCTGAGAGAACCGCGGGTGAAGAGGACGAACCTATTCGAGCAGAATTCGTCTGAGACCGGAGTCTTTGGCGTAAGGCTCTGATCTTGAGTTGTCTTTAGTTCTCTTTGATAGATCTGGCTGACATTTCCGGCGCGTTAAGCGCATGTAAGATTACTTGAAATGTTTGAATAACTCAACATAGTTTGCCAGCTTAGCGCACCTTTCGAGAAGATGCAGAGTTGGCCACGGTTCTGAAATCAGATTCCTTCTCGTAACCTGGGATTTCATGCTTTGTCTAACACTACCAATGTCTTTTTGGTAGATTTGGATGGCTTAGTTTAGAATTCGAGGGCATCGGCGCAGCGTTTAGCTGCTAGGATTTCAATGTCAATAAGACAGCGACATTTTGTCGTAAATAGACACACTTACTTCAAACACAAGCACTCATCGCCAATTTATCTATTTGGCGAGATCCAAGAATCACTTTGATTTCAATATTCCCTTAAAGAAAGCTGTTGCATATCTGGCTAAGTGTACTGTTCTGAAACGAACTTGTCCAGCCGTGACATAAAGAACAGGAATGGGTGAGAACCGGCCATAGCTGGAGGATGTCAACATGCTGTCGAAATAATAACCACTGGAACCAGACGTACGACAGCATAAGAGTGACTGAGCATACGCCCAGTCATGTAGATGTTCCGACACGTGACCATCTTTGGTCGCGTACGAGGACACATCCAGAAAAGCCATGCAGATTGTAAGACCTTCAGAAGGGCATTACAGAATATAATCTCTTCTTTGATCATCAATTTGTCACCGGAATCTGTGTATACGTCCCCCACAGTCCGTCCAACACAGTCCGTCCAA